ACCAAAAAGCATTTATTGAATATGTACATATGTGCTATGGAAAAATATATGAACTTATAAAAGTAAAAATAGTATAATGATCCCCATTTACCAGTCCCTCCATGTGAGCAATTATGAACATATACAGAATATACTAATGGGGGAAAAAAAGAATATCTTGTTGAGAAAGGGGTTGAACACAAGAGGCCTAAATTCAGATCCCCCCCCAGTAACCTTAATGTCCTACTAACTTATGCTACAAACTTCTGAACCTTCACCTCTTCAGTTATAAAATAAGAATAAAAGTATTCATTGTTTTATGCTGCAAAGATTAAAATGATAACCTATAGTAAATCATTTGGCAAATTCTTGACAGCTATGTATTCATTCATTGGTTGTTAGAATAAGGAGAATCAACTGCAGTTTCCCCACAGCCAGTTTGCAAAGGGAATTTGACATCAGATATCAAGCACTCACAGCATATTGACATGGTTTCCTCTGCAGGGTAGAGGATGCTTCTCTGTTTGACATTTAAATTTTTGAACTTCACCTCTTACTCCCCTTGTCAGATTCCATGCCCATTGAGCAAGTGGAAAGGCAGAGTATATTCACTGAAATTAGCAACCTCAAGTTTTCATCTTCCGTCGCAATTGCTCTTACTTAGATCTTGCTAAAACCAACCTTCCTTGCTTGTGGTTAAAGGCAGGTGGGTCCTGGCAGGGACAGAATGGAGACCACATTGTGAAGGGGAGCAGCCTCTGGTGTTGAATACAGACTAGGGAATTTTTTAGAGAAATTTCCAGAGTGTCCTAAAATCCAAGAGATATTTCGCTTTACCCAATTGTACTAATAGGTACAAATTCCATCCAAAAGCATTGTAATGATCATTTGAAAAAGTGAAGTGCCCGAGGAATTCGCCCTTATCTACTCCGTGGCTGCCTCTAGGGAAGGTTTTAGCAAAATGGACCAAAGTTACCACCCCGCTTGTCAATAACTCAGGCCACTGGTAATGGCCGCAGTGTATTTCCTTAAAGACGAAAAGATAGGGGTTGGAAGGGAGATTCGCAGATGTGGGGCGCCCTAACGATGTATGCACTTCTTTTGTCGGCAGAGCCCCCTGGCGCAGACCCCGATACGCGGCGGGCGGCAGCGCGCGGCTTCACAGGCTGCCTGTCTGCGGTGCGCTTTAGCCATGCAGCCCCACTGAAGGCGGCGCTGCGCCTTGGCAGACCTGCCTGGGTCACTGTTCATGGTCAAGTGGCCGCTGGATCCCGCTGCGCGGTGGGCGCAGGGCCTGGCTCCAGAGCGCGGGAACTCGCTCCCCGGCTCTCAGGTGGTTCAGGTGCGTACCTCCTTGTGCTTGTTCTCTGTGTGTCACTACTGCTATATCGCAGATTTACTTAGTCCTGTTTGTTGATTCACCTACTTGGTATCTGGCCTTTCCCTCTCCTGTGTTCTTCCTTTCAAGTTCATTTCTCCCTACAATTGTTTGTTGTTCCGGTGTTTGTGAATTACTCTCTTCTCTTCGCTCTGTCCTCCCTTTTTCTACTGTAGGCTATTCTGGACCAACTGATGAGGGAGAGCCTTTAATTAATGCAGACAGAAGTGACTCTGCGGTCATTGGAGGTAATGCGGCTGTTAGCATGAACCAGAAACCATCTATAGCAATCAGCTCAGACTGCTGGGGTCAATGGCAGGCCTTGTAAATTTTCCTGATATTTCATGTAACTTACTGAATTCAGTTCCTCAGTAAAAAGAACTGATGGTTCCACTGAAGCACACTTTCTGAAGAATAGCTAAAACATTATAGAATAGTGAGAAGTTTTTATTTGAAAATAACTATCACTGTTATTTGATACAGGAGATGATATATGTTTAAAAATAGTGGTTCTATGGCTCCTTGCAATTGCCACTGAGCCTTCAAATTGTTATATAACACCAAAGACAGGAATAAGAAGTATAGTTTTATATTTTTATGTTTGAAAAATAACAATTTGTATTGTTTAGGTGCTTCAAGCAGTATGATTTTTGCTTTTAATTTTATTTTTAAATGTTTTGGGGCTAATGGAATAAGAGTTCCAAGGTTATTTAGAATTGAAGAAGTGACAGTATAAACAACATAGTGACTAACACAGAATTTATTAAGTTCTAACTCAAAAAACGAATGTGCAATTCTCCCTTCTTACAGTTCAAAGAATTTTTAAATTCTTGTGTGTGTGTTGGAAGGGGAGTGTTGGGAATGGGCAGGTCTTGGCACATGGAAGGCAGGTACTATTCCACCGAGCTATCCCATTTTAATTGTTTGGATTCTATTGAAATGTGAGTCTATTGCACACTCTGCTTAGTGAGTAGGAAGTAAACTATAATCTATTCCTTTGCTTTGTCAAATAAGGTTCATAACTCAGAGAGCTGGGTGACACCACTTGGTCTCCATTGCTCATATGGGCTGCACATCAGCTTACATGGGGTCTGTGTAGTTTATCTGTATTCATCTAGATGTCAGAGAATTAGAAGAGTACTCAGACACTTTAAAAATCTCTGTAAAGATATTAATATTTCCACCCCTATCTCAACTACTTTTATTTTTGTAATGATTGAAGTATGAGGAACTTATTTAATATAACCTCCATTTTCAATTCCAAGAACAAAAAAAAATCCCATAAATATTTTTTATCATTTATATCTAAAAGAAATGCTTTATATTAGAATTTAAATACTACTCCCAAATCATTTCTAATTTATTTTAATGAAAAGTATCCATTCTAATGCAAGCTAGTTTAAAATAAATGTGTTCTATATTTTCAAAGTAGGAATCCAAGTCAAAATACTTGCAAACTTGGTGCCTTTTATTTAAAAGAGCAAAGTGAATTTTCATTCTGATGATAGCACAAAATACCAGGCCTTTGGATCTTTAGAGCTTTTGCCTAAATATCATTGGCAAAATTTCAAAGTAAATAAGTTATACCAGTGTGCTTCCCTTGAGCAATCCTACTTGGCTCCTCATAGATGGGTGGAGAAGGAGAAAACACAGGTCTCAGGGACCTGACAAGGTGAGTGTATCAGGCTTTGTGATTCACTTGTACTTGTACTGCCTTTTGTTTGGGCAGTAGCTGATGGCTGGATGGTTAGAAGACCACTGGGTGCATTGACACCAGTGAACTAACCTGAACACACAGACTAGACTTATATGAAAAATACCTAATCCATATAAAGGATTATTGACATGGATAGATTTCTCTGTGTTCTGCATTTTGAATTATCTTTTCCTCCTCTTGCAAACAAAAGGAACAGTATAGGAAAGAATGAACCAGAAAAAGTATTTGTACCTGGTAAACCAGAGATCACAGAGGGCTTCTTACCAAGGGACATTTACTGTAGATAGGCAGTTAGATCGATAAAGAGACAGATGTATAGATAGAGAGGCAGGCAGAGAGAAGCTCATATAAAAAATACACTAACAAGCCAGGCGAAGTGGTGCATACCTGTAATCCCAGTGGCTCTGGAGGTTTAGGCAGTTCAAAGCCACCTCCGTAACAGTGAAGGCTAAGCAACTCAGTTGAAACCTTGTCTCTAAATAAAATACAAAGTAGGACTGGGGATATGTGGCTCAGTGCTTGAGTACCCCTGAGTTCAATCCCTTGTGCCAAAAAAAACAAAAACAAAAACAAACAAACAAAAAAAACCACTATCAGCAATATGCAGTTTATGAATTGCATTGAGTGATTATTCAAATAATTTTAATCTTTGGGTGTAGACAAGTTATTTTAGGATCCCATTAAATGTAATAAACCAAGCCATAGTTAAAGAGTTATCACATATAAAAAGGCCAAGGTATACTGAGGAGTTCCTGTAATGTCATGGAATTATAATCAAGTAGCCCCATCATTGTTCTGAGATTTACCAGTCTTTAACATTGCAATTGTATATGATGTTTCTCCTTAAAACAAAGTCCTATAACTAAGCAAAAAAAAAAAAAAAAAAGAACCTAAAGCAATGTGATTGTTTGTTTCCTAAAGGGATGCAAAGTATATTGAACAAAATGTTGTTATGAATATTTATGAATATAAACCAAATAATGAGCACACTACTTCCTCTCAGACTTGTGCTTAGGAATCCCTTTGACTAGTTATACCTAATTAAGCTTTGAGTTGTTGGGCTTCATTTTAGTTGCTGATGTCTATCCCAGAGTATGAAAAAGAACCCTCATTTTATAGTACAAATATTTTTGTATAACTAGGAAGGCACTTACATAGCACTTGTTATATAACACTTGCTTATTGGCGGTATTAATACCTGTGCCAATCATCTTTAAAACTGACCTTTTACATATTTATTTCAGTATAGACTTGATATTCATTCTTTACTAATAGGATAGCTTGAGTAAACATTCCTATGGTATAACTTTATGGTTCTTGATCCTTTCAGCACATTAAAATCATCTGACAAGATTTTTGTAAAAATCTGAATATCCATAGATCTTATTTGTTCTAAGTTGTCTAAACAGACTTGAGGACCACTGGCATAACTGATGTCAGGAGCTAAGAGCCTCACAGAGATGAATGACATGCTTATTATATAACTAATTCAACAGCATATCAGTATCAAAGTAAATTTTTATTAAAATATTTGTACAAAAACAATTACTCTGTGATGATGAGGCTATGCACTCTATTTTAAAATAATTAAAATTTCCTGGCATATTAATGTGAAGTGGGACATGGCCTAAGAGGTCCTGTTGTATTTCTGCACTTATTATGTGAAGTCATTAACTGAAATCCAATCGTGATCTGCATGTTAAGATCTGCCATGTAAACTTAATGTCATCATACCATTTGTCCTCAAAATTTATTATGTGTGTGTATATACACATATACATACATGCATATGTAGATTATATATTATAGCTACTAATATATATGATATTACATATGATTTAAACCATCTAGTAAGAGATTCTGGCGAGGTTGAAATTTATAGTTTATCTTCTAACTTTGTATGTTCTCTTTCTTTTCTCTCACCAGGTGTGGTAGCAGTGGTGATATTTATCTTGCTCTGCGTCACTGCCATAGCTATACGCATTTATCAACAGAGATGGTTATATCAAAAGAATGAGTCAGATATCTCAAAAGCTGGAGACAATGCTGAGATTGCTCTGAAAAGTGAACTCAACATGCAAAATACTGTCAGTGAAAGTCAGAAGGAGTACTTCTTCTGATCAGTAGCTGTGGTTTACTTATACTGTAACAATATGACTTACTTTCTAAGCCTAAAGCTCTCATAGGTGAAAACCCAGCCCTGGCCCTCAAGGTCTGGGCAGTGGGCATGCACCACTACCAACACTCCCACCCCAGCTTCAGCCAAGGTGCCAGGAATCTCTGCTCAGGGCCCCTCCATGATCTGTTTGTGTAGCAGTGACTTAAGTGCAGTCATTAATCACTGTGTGGCCCTTTCTGACTGTTCTGACCTGTTCTTCTAAAACTAAAATGTTATTTGCCTAATGATTTTAGGTTTTAAATGCAAACAACAATTTGAACTATAGTCCTACTCTCTTAAAAATGTGACATGGAAATTTATAAAAGTCAAAGTTGGACTCTGGTGTTTGTGTTATGCAGAAATCTGTCCTGTCCTTTTATTGATCACCAGCTGACATTTGTAAAAAAGGAAATGCTTCTCAGATGGTCTGAGCAGGGTTTCCATCTTCCTGTGAATGAGAGCTAAGTAGCTAAAAATGCATTAGATACCTAGAGGGAAAAAAAGAAAAACAAATAACCTTTTTGGTCTAATGATTTTTACATTTTAATGATAAAATAATGTTTGGTGTCAGTTCTGAAATTTTATTATTGAATTCAGTTATGGGAAAGAAAACTAATAGGTAGCAAAATATGTAGAGGATTTTGATATACAATAATTTGTTTCTTTGCAATTTGTAATTATAGTCTTTGTAGAATGAAATGATTACCTGGTGATCTCACAAAAATGTGTATTTTCTAACTAAACTTAGCTGAGATATAGACACTATATTAACACTACAAGTGAATCTGACCAAAACATAATCCTAAATTTGATTCCCTCAAGTATGGGGTGATCAGGTCAATTTTTCTTGACAGTCCTGTGATCCTCTTTTCCTGAAAGTTATCACAATTCTTTGGTACCATCCAACATTCTTTTTGTTCATTAAGGCAAAAGTCATATTTCAAACTGAAGCTCTACAGCCCCCTTTCTAGATTTTGAACTGATTTAGGCAAAATTCTCCCTTCCTCGAGTTATTTGTCTCATCTTGTTACTGTTTGAAATATCCTCAGAATGATGCTTATTTATGTTAACGGAAGATTTTCTGAACTATATCTGTCATTCTAGTCAAGATTCTAGTTTCCATTAGAGCACCCAAAATTAAAGTTTATTTTATATTAGGATACATTTGCATACTAGAAAAGCAAGACATTCACATGTCTATGAAAATTGTTCTAGTCAATACTTTTGTCGTTAATAACCACCTGGAGAGCCACCATGTGTGTTCAATAGCCATTTATAATAAGAAGGTGCTACATTCTCCATTTATCAACTGCCATGTGCCTGACAGGTGTTAATAAGATGGCTTATCCAAAACAGGACAATTGGCTATATAAATTTAGCCATGGTACTACTAATTTACTGTGTTCGTTTTTAAAAATGGAAAAGATTCCCTGTATATTATCTTTTTTGCAAAAACCTGTCTTTTCTTATGGTTTCATTAATATGAAATATTTATTTGAGTTGTAACCAATTTAGTACAACATGTGTTCACTGGCTCAGTTTCTATGTGTCAGGGGCAAGGCGTGAGTTCACTGGGTCTTCTATAAAGCTGCAGTCAAGCATCAGCCAGGGCTGCATTCTCATATGGAGACTCAGCTAGGGAAGGATCTGCCCCTCTGCTGTCATGATTGGAAGCATCCAGTTCTTTATTGTTGTAAAATTCATGTTTTCTTGCTTCTTCAAAGTGGTATAGGAGACACACTCTAGAGCAGTCCTGCTAGTGAAAGGGAGACTTATGTAATGCACCATAACAAAGAGCATGACATCCTGTACCTGTGCCATAACTTCTTCCTTAGAAGCAAGTCAAAGATCCTGCTCACACTCAAGGTGAAAAGGATATATAAGGCTCATGAACCAAGGGATTAGGAGGCACCTTAAAAGTCTGCCCACCACAGAACTATATCCATATTGATGTTCCCTAAAATACTGATGAGAATTTTAAGGTACAGATGGTCTCTGACTTACTATCGTTCAACCAAGGATTTTTTAAACTTCATGATGGTATGAAAACAATACACATTCAATAGAAACTATTCTTTAAATTTTTAATTTTGATCTTTTCCTGGCCTATCAATATGCAGTATGATACTTTCTTGAAATGCTAAATAGCAGCCATAACCCACAACTCACAATCAACCACACGATCATAATAGGAAACAACTGGTAATCTATACTGTGTTACTAAGCTAGGATGTTGGGTAGATTTGGTGTAGTCAGTGCATTTTCAATTTGTGGTATTTTTAACTTGCAGTGAGTTTATTGGGGCATAACCTCATCCTAAGTCAAGGAGCATCTGTATAATAATATATGAAGATCCACCTTTGAGAATGATGTACATACTTTTGTCCCCAAAGGCCTGTGAATGTTGGGGAAGAATTCAAAACAGAAATGATGGGCTTTATTTAATGCACAGGCAAGTATAGGCATCAAGGAATCACTGTAGCTTCAATAAGTGAACATCTTATATGCTAAAAGAATTCATCACTTTGGTAGTTGGAATTTTACAGGTTTATTAAGAATGAACTACATATACTGCACACTGCTCTCTGTTCTGAAGAGAAACAAAATTGTTGCACCTAATTATAGTAATGCATATCTACTTTCTCTTACTGATTTTTAAATTTTACCTGATTATTTGTTAACAAAATTAAATGTTTGAATTAAACTAAGAAAATATTTTTAAAAGAAGTTGAATGAAATTTGAATTATGAAATTATATTATTTTCCCCTTAAATATTAAAAATGTGCAGATGTGTACATTCTGTAGTGGTATGTTTATTACTTTATCCCTGCTGCATATATAAGTAATATTAGGGCCTGATTAATGTTTTTATGATGGTCTCAAACAAAAAGTGAACGCAAAAAAATAGGCAAATATTTACCAATTTTTTTATTATTTTTTTATATTTTTATTTTTTTTAGTTTTCAATGGACACAACATCTTTGTATGTGGTGCTGAGGATCGAACCCGGGCCACACGCATGCCAGGCGAGCACGCTACCACTTGAGCCACATCCCCAGCCCCTACCAATTATGTTTTTTAAATATTTATTTTTTAGTTGTAGTTGGATACAATATCTTTAATTAATTAATTTATTTTTATATAGTGCTGAGGATCAAGGATCAAGGTGAGCACTCTACTGCTGAGCTATAACCTCATCCCCACCGATTACATTTTAATTACATTAAAATGTCTATGAGAATAGAGATTTAAACCTTTGCACTTTTGCTAAAGGATAATAATTTGACTATATACTTAAAATAACATTCCCAGTTTAAGGCTAATTATGTTAAAATATTTATATAATTTTCTCATAAAAATTTAACCAACCCAAGTGAATGGATTATCACAAACCCTGGCCCACAGCAAATGCCATTATTTCACTTCTTTGGTTGTATTAGTCCACAATTGACACTCTGGAGATCTAAAATATATAAAAACAACTGAAATGGAAATCAGAATGATTATTTGTTTTCAACATGCCCAGTTAATCCGAAGAATTTAGGAGCTCTGGGAAAACAAGCATTGGTTGGAATGAATTTGGGACACTGTTTTCATGCCATTTGACCATTTGAGCCCCTCTATCGATGGGTATGAGGAAGTAATGGAAGTAACTGGTATGGTCCTCCACATCAGGAGGAGCTCACAGATATCCCAGACCCCAACTGCCAGTTACGTTTTGAGGCTGTCCAGACTGGGAGAGGAAGTGAAAGGGAACACTGCAGTTCTGCCTAAAACTGAGCTGGAGTTGAGGAAATTCCGGTTGGGACTGTGGTAACAAGTGCAAAAGAAAAGAGGTTTCGATGGTGACAGTCCAAGACAATGTTATCAACAAAGTGATGGCCTCTGAGCTAAGACCCAGGTCTGCCTCATTACAAACCTACAAATGGGTTTGCAAAAATTTAAGCAATGGCTTTTTAATTTGCAAACTTTTTTATTCTTTGAACATTTATGTTCTTTTGAATTTCTTTAATAATAAATACAAACATTGAGTTTTCATTTTTTTGGCATAGTTAATTCTCCATTTGGAGGCTTGTCTGATCTGGCATTCGTTCCACAATTCTGCTCTGGCTTTGTGTTAACACTTTACTCAGGGTCTCCAGCCCCTGCATTGCCTGCATTGCTTTTGCTCCTTCACTACACTCCCTTCTTGCCCCACAATAAAAGTTACCATGGAGTTATTTATATACCACATTTATTTTGAAGCACTCGGTTCTCGAGATTTATTTTAGAAATTCTGCTATTGCAAAAATTCATCTGTGAAGTGAAAACACTTAAAATTCAATAGATTTTTCTTTTGTGTGTGTGGGTGTGTGTGTGTGTAGACAGTCATGAATTACATTGTAACATAGTCAGTGAAGGGACCACATGGTTCCTTAAGGTTATATAAACTAGTGACATCATAGCCATCTAAAGCATACAATATTTTTCATTTTTTGTTATGATAATAAGATTCCTGAGGCAGGCTACTTTATAAAAGAAAGTGGTTTGTTTTGGTTCATGGTTCTGGAGGTTCAAATTCAAGGTGCCTTATTTGGTGCTGGTTTGCTGGGAAAAATACAGGATATCACATGGCAACACAAGGTGTACAGGTCCATGTGTGTCTATGTCCTGTGGTCGGTCTCTCTTCTTTTAAAGCCACCAAAATTTAATCAGTGGGGGCTATACCCTAATGATGTTATCTAATCCTAATCTCCTTCCAAAGGTCCTTCCCTCTTCATACCTCACAGTAGGATTAAATTTCAGCATGAATTTAAGGGGACAAATTATAACATTTGCTCTATAATGTTCACATAAAGATTAAATGCTTAACAACACTTTTCTCAAAATATATTCCATTGTTAACTGTGAGAGAATGAAATATGCTTTGAAAAATAAGGAGACACCTACTACAACCGCATCAAGTTGGTTTGTTTTCTTCAGGCTTTTAGATTTTGCAATATATACATTGTTTTCTGAAGCATTTTATAAAAAGAAGAATAGTGCAAGAAAAGAACTTTTGTTTTAATATGAAAATATTAGGTGAAAATACAAGTGTTATATTGAAAATTGAACACTGATTACTTAATCTTACTGTGAGTAAAAATAGCTGGTTTCATTCAATAAAGCAAGTCAACCAACTCTAGGAAATTTTGTTTGTTTCTCTTGAAATTTCCAGATGGTTTCTGAGTGAGATGAAATTACACTTTACAACAATAATTTATTCCTAGAATATATTTTGACTAGGAAATGACGTGTATTTACAAAGAAAATTGTTTTTTTTTTCTTGTGCAATTTAGAAAGACAGGTTACAGTGGCCATTCAACATACCACCTGCCACAGAAAGTAGATTCCTTCTTTGATACCTTGTGCTACTGTGATGTCAGCATTTTCAATTGAAAACAGAATTTTTATTAACTTGGATCTGAAAAAGAATTTATTTGGTCTAGTCTTCTATTCTGCTGGTGTTTATTGGGAGAGTATAAAACAGACCAATTTTTAATTGGGGTTCCAAGTAACCACTATTGTGTCTTAAGGATTTATATTTGTGTCTTAAGGATTGTTATTTTTAATACTGTTTACAGATGACATTCTAATAACTGAAACTATGTGAAAGTGGAATGGCAGATAACAGAAGTCTCTGTATAATTTCTTGCCTGAATTATACAAAATTGTACTTAAAAAAAAATAGAGTGAATTTGGTTTCTATAAAAGAAGAATGAGCTTAACCTTAAAGAGTAAGGCTACTAAAGGATATGTACTTGCTGTCTTTGGATTCAGGGGATATGTTCTCTAATGAGAAGCCTGTGAGTTTTCCGTTGAAGAGTTAGGGTCATATAGACTACTACCTGGGAAACTTCGGGCAAATCTACCTCCTTCAGCCTCCCCTGACAATAAAGACTCTCCCCCATGGGACCTTTGCAGGACCTGTTCATACAGTATTTACATAGTGTCTGACATGGCTAAAGCATATGTACCACTTAAAATACACAAGAACACAGCTTATTGGAACCTTGACCCTGAAAAATACCATGTCATCTTAATATACTTTGAATGTGTCTGTGAAGTTTTAGACATGGGTCTTTTTCTTTAATATATTTTTTAGTTGTTGATAAACCTTTATTTTATTTAATTATATGCTGTGCTGAGAATCAAATCCAGTGCCTCACTCATGCCAGGCAAATGTGCTACCACTAAGCCACAGCCATAGCACTGGACATAGGTCTTTAATGCTCTAAATTTGTGTGGTCCCATACAGAAAGTAGATTACCCATTCTTCCTAGAAAAATGCTATGGGCAATTATGAAAAAAATGATGAAATCCAGGGTGATGTCAGAAATATATGATAACCTGGCATGATTTTTTTCCCATTAGTTCAGTGATAACAACTGGGAAAGGACACTAACCAAAAATGTTTTGAATTTCTGGACTTAATTTTGATGCAGATGGAGTGGTGGGCAATTGAGTAATGAAATAAAGACTGAAGTGTACATGCTTTATACCTCTACCAGATTTAAGCACACCTGTGCATGACTAATAACCCAGAAAAGAAAAAGGTTAGAAAATGATCATCCTGGTTTTTCTGTTTTATTTCAATGAAATGTAGAAATGAGACTTGCAAAAAGATGCAGTAGATATATGTTTCCATATTCTTCCCACTAAGCAAAACTAAAAAATTATAGATATTTTATATTAAAAAAAGGAGATGGTAACTTTGAAAGCTAGAGAGGAGAATGCAGTCCTATACCCTCAGGACCTAAGGAACGACATGATGTTGTATTAATTGGTTTTTTGTTTTACCTAATTTATGCTACATTTGTAATTGAATAACCAGAAAGAAATCTGGAAATTTTGATAGGTTTGGATTTGTTAAACACTCTATGGGAGTGATATCAGCAACGTAACAGACTAGAAATCTTCAGACCCTGCTTACTCACAGAGACACTGCATTAACAGTGATATATGGACCAGCATACCTTTGTAAGAACTCTGGACACTAAAAACTACAGCAGTCTTACCCATGTAAATGCCAAAAAGGATTCCAGTGAAAGGAAATTTTCTGTGACCACCCATGCCTCACTCCCTATAATGTGCAATCAGAAGGAACAGCCCCTCATAAAGAAGCTCCTCCTCTGGGTTGGAAACAAAATAATAGATCATCTGTCCAACATTCTTGCATGTCGAGAGGGAATGGTTTCAGTTTTGTCTGACTTGGAGGACTGGTGGCATAATTTAGAAGCCACTAGAAACAGGCAAGCATAAAGTGTTTCAGAACTGAAGTTCCATAGGCAGTCACTGGGGGAAACAAAATTTGGAGAAGATCCTAAAAACTCTAGCTAGGCTGATTGCTGAAAGTTTTACTACACATGAAGTGAAAATGTGTTTTGGGGAGAGGAGGTTAATTTTAAATACCCAAATCTCAGTATAAGTTTATAAGACCCACAAAGAAACAGAGAAGGAAGCATGGTCCAATCAAAGGACAGTATTAAACTTTAGAAAATGACCCTAAAGATGGGCATATCCAAGATTATCTACCAAAGAACTCAAAATAACTGTCATAAAGATATTCAAAGAAAAAAAAGAGAAGGAAAACCATGCAGTAACATAATAAGACTATCAACAAAGAGAAACAAATAGAAATTATGGAGCTGAAAAATAAAATATCAGAACTTAAAAATTCACTAGACTTGATTCAATAGCAGATTCTGATCACATAGAAGAATCAGGAGACTTGAAGACATCAAGTGAGAGCAGGAAAAAAATAAGAAAAGGGAAG